TGTATTTGTAAAAACATTTTTTATTATCTTTTACCACTGCAGTCAGGCTGAGTTACAGTGGGGCTTTTGCCTTCCTAATTTTAACTCTGCATGACCTGGAAAGATCCCTGTACTCTTTTTGGGTTGCCTTACCCTTCTTCCAGAGGTGGTAGACTCTCCTTTTTTCCCTGAGTCCCAGGAAAAGCTCTTTGTTTAGCGGGGCTGGTTGTCTCCTCTGCCACTTTGTCTTTCTGCAGATGGGGACAGCCTGCTCGTGTGATTATAAAACCATAACACAAGCTTAACTGTGAATCAGGAATGTGCCCTTGGGGCGAAGGTGGCCAACAGCATCCTGGGCTGCATTAGGAAGAGAGCTGCTAAAACATAGAAGGAGGTGTTGGCTGCTCTCTGCTCAGCACTGGTGAGACATTGGATCCCGTTTTGGGCTCCCCTGCACAACAGAGACGTGGACATACTGTAGGGAGCCCAGTAAAGGCCCACAAAGATTAAGGGCCTGGATCATCAGTCATACAAGGAGATCCTGAGATAACTGGAAGTGTTCAGCCTGGAGAAGAGGAGGCTGAGAGGAGGATCTTCTCCATGTGTGCAAATACCTGAATGGACTGTGCAAAGGCAACAGAGCCAGATTCTCAGCAAAAGGACAAGAGGCAATGAACATTAATGTCAATACAGGAAATACTGCTTAAACACAATAAAGAGCTTTTTTATGGTGAGTTTTTCAAGCATTTGCCTATATTCATCTAGATGAATTCTTACAATTCTTGAGCTTGGACAGTGAAAACAGATAGGGAAGGACTAGAGGTGTATCTTTTTTTTAAGCCTATTTTAATTTCTGTGCCTTTGGTGCTTTAGAACAATACTACCACGTTTTGTGTAAAAAAAAATTCTTAAAGCTTTGGCCTTTTCTCCAACTGAAACCTCAGATCATGAGATCAGACAAAATATATTTTACCAGTCTCTTCCTTATTTGAAGTCCTGAAAGGGATGCAAATCTTCAAAAGTCCATTTCCATTTACACAACTCAAAAAGCAAGTAAAAGGCTTCCTTCCATCTCTGCCTTTATATACTGCTGAAGACAAGAAAAGTCTCACTACCACTATTAACTGACGAAGGAGAAGTATGAGAGTGACACCAGTTTGAGGATTTTCCCTAACTGATTACATGGTCTGTTCAGAGTACCACTGCATGGGTGGTGCTGAAAGGGATTCAGCCTTTGGTTTAGTATCTTCATTTTGTGAGTACCATGCATACAATGAGAAAATATCAGTGTCAGTGAAGAAGTTTAGTAGCATGAGAAGCAGCAAGCTGCTCCAGCTCAGGAACTCAGTGTTGTGTTGGGTGTCGGAGGCAGGGTTCTGGTGGGGGTGGCAGGGGCCTGGCCTTTGTTGGGCACGGCTGGCTCCAGTGGACCCACCACAGGGCATGGCTGAGCCCCTCAGACAAGCTTATGGTGCATCTGTGAAAACTTATTTAAGAAGGGGCAAAACAGACTGGGCAGAGAGAGGAGGAGGGGAGGAAAGAGGGAGAACCAGCAGAGGGAATACCAAGGTTGGAGAAGAAAGGACAAGGTGCTTTGTGTTGCTGGAACAGCTGTTCCCCTGTAGCCTGTGGAAGAGAACACGAAGGAGCAGATGTTCACACTGCAGCCTGTGGAGAGCCCATATTGGAGACTCTCCTGAAGGACTGCAGCCTGTGGGGAGAGACCATTCTGGAGAGAGGAGAATGTGAGAGGGAAGAAGTTGCAGAGAGAATCTGTGATGTACTTACCATCTGCTCTTCCCTGCATGCTTGGAGATGGGCTGAGGAAGGGAGTCTGGCGTGAAGTTCAGCGTGGGAGAGGAGGGAAGGAAAAGTGTTGATTTAATGGTTGTCTTTGTTTCTCACAACCCAAATATATTTTCATTGGTAATAAATTCATTTTCCCTAAGTAGAGTCTGGTTTGCCCACAGCAGTAACTGGTAAGCAATCTGCCTACCTGTATCTCCACCTATGAGCTTTCTCATCCTATTTCCCCCCCTGCACTATTGAGAGAGGGGAGTGGCTGGGTGGGCATCTGGCTGCTGACCAAGGCTAATCCACCACAGTGTTAAAAATGAAACATTCATTTCCAGTGTGGCCTATTCTTAAATTATATAAGTCCATGCCAGTACTTTGTCTCAAAAAAAATTGTTCACTGTAAATAAAATTTAGAAAGCTTTTACTTCACAGCTTAATGTTTTGGCTTAAATAAATCACTGTCCTGATACGTACAGTAAATTTCCCTAAAATAAGTAAAAAAAAAAAAAAAAAGGAAAAACCCCAGAATGCCCCCAAACCTCTGATTCAGACAGTGTAATGAAGCAATTATCTTACAATACTGTGAAGGACATTGCTTGTAGAGCTACAGCAAGGACACTTGGTTCTGCTGAGCATAGTCCTGATACATTTGTTTGGGTTTTCTTTTAATACTGACTTCCTGTGAGAACAGCAGCTACATCTTTACACAATATGCAGAATATTATTATGACCTGTGCTGGAGATGAACCGTGTTAGTTTACTTCCTGAACAGGAAGTAAAATAAGCAAGGTAGCTGAAGATAAGGAGACTGAGAACTAAGTATTACAAGAAGAAGACTTTAGTAGAATGGTTCTTAGAAATGGATCAGAAGCTCACATCATTATTTCTGGGTGTCCTGCACAGTGTGTCATTCATCAAACTTCTAGCTGAAAAATCTGCAAAGATACAGTTCTGTATATTAACTGCAGTCCACTTAAGATGCTTTGCTACCTTCTCAGTGGCAAGGCACTTGGGAAAAGGTGTGTATGGAAAAGGCTGACTACAGAGAACAGCTTCAAGCATGGAAGTACTATAATTGTGAAAGCAGCATAAAGCCTGAGTTTGTATTTTGAAAGTATAAGAAAATATAAGTTACTCAAGTAGCTGAAAGGCAATGGATAGTAGTCTTTGTAAGTTTGACTGTATAAATTGTTCTAAAATTACATAGTCAAATGAAGAATATTATAGGAAGGTATTGCTGAACATGGAAATTAACTTAATGTGGCTAATTAAGGGTTATAAACATGTAAGTTAAGTCTTCAAACTAATTTTTGGTTTATGTACAGGATGTGAACAGGTGTATTGAGGCTCTTGATGAGCTTGCATCCCTTCAAGTCACAATGCAGCAAGCTCAGAAACATACAGAGATGATTCTGACTCTAAAGAAGGTGAGATCTGCAATGTTAATCAAAGTAACCTGTGTGTTTTCTTAAATTGATAACAGTATTGTTTACTGCTGGAATACTGTGTCTGGTTCTGGCCCCCACAATTCAAGAAAGATGCAGACAGACTGGAGAGGGTCCAAAGGAGAGCCATGAAGATGATCAAAGGGCTTTTCCTATAAAGAAGGACTGAAGGGGTTAGGTGTATTGTTCCCAGAGAAGGCACAGGGGGGAACCTCACCACAGCATTCTAGTACTTAAAGGGTGGCTACCAAGAGGCTGGGAGGCTCTCTCTTTACAAGGAGCCACATGGAGAAGACAAGGGGCAGCAAGTACAAGTTGCACAGAGGAAGGTGTCATCTTGACATAAGAAATAAATTTTTTACAGTGAGAACAATCATTCACTAGAACAACCTCCAGGCTTCCCTTCCCATGAAGGGTTGGAAGGCCAGATGATCTTTTGAGGTCCCTTCCAACCTGAGCTGTTCTGTGATTCTGTGATACTTCAGAGAGTGTAAAAGTCTATGATCTCATTTCAGGTTAAATTAAGAATTTCATCTAGCATGTGATGAAATTAAATAGGTATTTAAATACCTAAGTGGAGCTCATTGTTTTATTACTCTGATTTCAGATACGGAAATTCAAAGTTAGCCAAGTTATCATGGAGAAATCTACAATGCTATATAACAAGTTCAAGACCATGTTTCTGGTGGGGGAAGGAGATTCTGTTCTTTCCCAAGTACTAAATAAATCACTTGCTGAGCAGAAGCAGCACGAGGAAGCCAACAAAACCAAAGAACAGTGGAAGAAAGGTGCAAACAAAAAAATGGAAAAGGACCAAACAGGTAAGTCACTGTGTTTTTAGTTTCTTGTCATGCAAAGGTCTAGTGACCATAAATTTCTGAGCCAGCTTCAAGAAAATTCTTGATATAGGAATCTACCCATCTATTAAAACCTTTACATATCTGAAATAGTGAAGGATAATACTGCTATAACTAAGTTGCTATTTCAAGTGTATTATGTTTTCCATGGCTATTTTACCTTTATTACCTGAAGGGAAGGGATTTTGCAAGAATTGAGTTCAGCATTTTTTACTTCTCTGTGTATTTTCAAACTATTACCTTGTGGAATAAAAAAATATTAAACATGAGGTAGAAAAGCATACTACCTTCCATTCCTTAAGTAGCCTTTTAGTGCCTAGACTTCCACCTGTGCCTTAACTACTTATTTCCTTCACTAGCTTCTTCCTATATCATGCATTCTACTATGTGTAGCAGCAGCTTTTAACAACTTAGGTGGTACTTCTGTGATGCAACTTAGTAGTTCAGTCTAACAGTACTGAAATAATTATCATTTAGAGGAGAAAAGCCCTTTATGCTTTTAGTAGTAGTATTCCAAATTCATCATGAGCACTTGTTACAAGTACAGTGTGATAATTGAAAGCTCTCCATAGTAAGCAAGCTCTAGAATAATTTAGGTCAGTTATTTAAGAAAAAAAAAAAAAAAAAGAAAAGATACTTGCGTTTTTAAATAACTGGAACATAATGAGACAGACACTTGAAAGCTGTGTTGGAAACTAATTTAAATCCTTCATGATGTAGGAATTTACCCATCTATTAACATTATTTAGATGCTGGATCTCCACAAGTGCTGGAGAGAAATTATATTTACTTTGAACCAGAATCCTGGGAGCAAAACTGTTTCAGAAAACTGTCTGAAAGTTACACCTCTTGGATCTGGAGTAAACAAGTGACTGAGGTGATTGAGGATGCCAAGGATTCAGAATAACTGTAGCTGAAATGCCACCCTATTTGTAACTAAGCAAGGATAATGATAAAATCCAGCCACTTTAAGGTGAGAGAAGTATGTATGATGTAGTAGAGGTTCTTCACAGATCTTTTCCCAACCCAGTGATTAGCACAGCTAATATTTTAACAAAGAATCTAAACTGAAAGATTTTCTATGCATAGTCGGACTGACGAAGCTACTCTGGATAGGTTAACACCAGACTTCAACAGAACACAGTGAAATACTGTACTGTTGCCTTAGGCAAATAGAGAATGGTAGAAAGTTTTATCAGACTAGGAGGATATTTCATGGAAATGTATTTGTCTTTATTTGCTCCAAAGAGAAATTCTGGTTCCTTACGTTTGTACTTCTTTTAAAAACTTAAAAAATTGAACTGCTGAACTCTTACTGTCTTTACGAACCACAACAGTTAGAGCAGTTCCTACTTCAGCAGAAGTACAGCTTCAGATTCTCTACTTTGTAACAAGGGCTTACAACATTTGTTGTTTCATTGATTCTTCCCATGGCACCTAAGTTCAGAACTGATTCTGAAGCAAGTTAAATAGATCAATCACCAGAATGTCATCTTAAAATTATCTTGCCCGCTTCTTAGCATCTCTTAGCTTGTAAGTATTCAGATGAGTAATGTCTTGTATTTTGGTCTTTCTGTAGCACACTAGTTTAATAGAAGGAGATTTTTGATAAACCTGTAACTTCAAATAGAATGGACTGTCAGTTTTGACTTAAAGTGACATTTCTCAGCAATTCACTCAAAATTCACTGGCTTGTGATACCAGAGCAAAACATGTGTTCATCACAAATTTTAAAGAGGTTAAATATTCCTGGTTTGACTTCACTAAATACAGCTTCTGCATAGTGCTTTGTTTTCCTGCTTGACAGTTGCGTGCTGTAACTAAACATTTTTACTCTACTTATTTATACTGTTTGTCTTTTTTTTTATTATATACATATTTGTTGGAGTTGAGAATAAATGAGAATCCATGGAACTAGTAATTTCTCCAGTTCAAAGTATCAGAAATCCCTCAAAATTGTCTGACCAGGTTCTAGTGGTAAACAGAATTCACTGCTGAAGTATATTCTTTCACTGTCCAGAATATAAATAAGCATTAGTCCTTTTATCTGTAGCCTAGTAAGCACAAGAAGAACTTGAAGTCTCATGAAATAGATACACTGTTCATTTCTGATTTATTAAAAATATGGGATGAGGCTTGTTGCATGGAACATGCAGAAGCTGAAGCCGTATCGGTTACTGGCTTTTGTGTTGTTTGAGCTTCTGGGTACCCAGGTGAGGGGAAAAAAACACAGTGTTTGAGTTGATGAAGGTAAAGAAATTATCTGGGTTTTTCTGTAGCACAGTTTTGCTGCCTGCAGTACTGTTTTCTTTCCCTGCCTTTTCATTTTAAAGGTTCTAAGGTTCTGAACGGAGGGTCTGAAGCACAAGACACCAACCAGTCACAACACAATGGAGAAAACACTGAGGAAAAGAAAGATAAGCATGAAGTTGGCAGTAAGAAAAAGTGAGTTAATAACCTGACTGAACTGAGGATCTTTTCTGCTCTATCAAACTGATGTAAATAGAACAGCAGTAGATTGAAGTTAACCATGTTGAGGTACTGTTTTCTTTATAGGGTTTTCTCTCAACTTTGGGCAATGACAGCGGTGTGCAAATCTTCTGTTACAGTTTCAAAGGAATGTTTCTAAGTTACTTCACTCACTGGTATGGTGGAGACTTAAAGAAAAGAATTATGGGATGTTCTGTTAGGAGAAAATCAGCATGTGATGAGACAGGGCAAAGAATAAGCTTTCTCCTATGTTTTGGGAAAATGCTATTAAGTTGGAAACAAAGGAAGCCTCAACCAAGTCTTACAGAAACTAATTGCATTGATAAGTTTTTTTAAAAAACATATACTGTAATCAATAGCCAAGCCACTTTAATTAGTGTTCTATAGCTACGCTATAGAATTCCCAAATGTAGGTAAACTTCAGACCAGAACTCAGACCCGTGAAATTTCAGAACTCTGAATGCCCTGCAGAGGTGGTTGCATTTGCCTTTTCCAAACAAGAAGCCCTGAGAATGCTTGAATTTGTCAGGAGGTAAGTATTTAAATATTAGCCTCACTGAAAAATGCTGTTTTGAATGAACAACAAGCAGCAAATCTCTTGTAGAATATGAGAAATTCATAATAGAATTTAGTAAACAATGAGGCCTGGAATTATTCTTGAGCTAAATTGTTTTGTTGAAGTACCCCGTTGTTTTCTCTGAGCAATTCTGCACCTTGTGCTCAGGGATTCTTTTTGCCCAGCAGTATGTACTGAAGCCAGTTTTCCTTTATTACTGTCTTCATGCAGGCCAGGAGAAACTGCAGTTGCCTGGTGTTATTTTGGCTGTCTGCCAAGTTAAAACTGTACAAATGAGTGGAATATTGACTGTTATTTACAATAAGGTAAACTTAAACAGAACAAAATAAAAAAACCCCTTGAGATGAAAATGATAATTGCTGAGAAGTAGCCTCAGAACTACAGACTTCTGATTACACAGCTTTCAGAAGAGACACTGGGGAGTTTTCAACCAGTGATGTGAAATACTCATTTGGTCTGAACAAGCAGCATGTTACACAAACATAGTGAAGGCACAAGCATAGATTCCTAACACAGGTTACACAGCCTAGCACACTGTTTAAATAGGTGATTTGGCCAAATGACAGTGTGGTACTAACAAAGCGCAACACCCTAGTTACTTGAAATCAAACAGCAAGGCAGTTCAGTAACAACAAAACACACACTTGGCCAAGTATTTAAATATAGAAGACTAAACTGGTTCTCCAAGGTACAGTTTTTTTCATGGCCTGCTCCTTTCCTTGTTCTACTTGGATTTTTGAGTGACAGACAGTCTCAGTCAGATTGCCCTTTATATTTGTGATTAAAAGAATTAAGAATATTTGGGTGCCTGTGTGACACCTCAGTGGTCATTGGTCAAAATAAATACTGGGCAGATACTTCAGAAAGTTATGCAATGTGCCTGGAAAAGGCTGCTGAATACAGTGTCTCAAAAAAAAGCAACTTTGAGGCAAGATATTTTATATTTTTAATACTTAAATAACTGTATCTGTAAACTTGCAAATATATCTTCCATGAATGAGCTAATGGGGATGTTACATTCTGCTAATAAACATTTATCTCTTTAAAGTGTGTGGTGTTTGCCATGGCCTTGAACTCTACACTCCCAGCGCATCCTTTGACTTACCTAAACAAGAAACAAACCCACTTCACAAGAAAACTTGTATGGTTCTGCGGGAGCAGTTTCTGTGGGCTTCTACTCATTGTTTGCTAACAGCTATAAACCAGATTTTTAACACCTCTTGCAGATACCTTCCATGTTGAGAAATGCATCCACATACCTGTTCAAAATTCAAGCAAGCTGTAGACTTGGTGTGTCTCCATCATACAACCTTCCTTTAATTCAGTATTTGTCATACATCTTTATTTGCAAGATTTGGTTTTTTAGAAGTGAGAAACTAGTAAGCAAAATAAATATGAACAAATCATCAACGCTCAAAACACCTCTGCAGTTCCCACTACTGCCTCTAAGCAAATAACTTGTAAACTTGTCAGACCACAGGGCTGTCTATTCAGTTCGGATCTTTATTCCCTTTGATGACTGGAGGCAAGACATGTGCTTACCTTTCTGAAGATGTACTTCAGAAATTTTGGAAGACAGAAGTTGTGTAACTTAGTACTTCCGAAATGCTTGGCACTTAACATCTTTCTGTTCTCATTTGGTAAAAATACATACTGCTTCCTGAGGTTATGTTAGTGTTTGGAGGACACAGTGGATTATTCCTGGCTACTAAGAAAAGTTACGGTTGGTAAGGTATGTTAAGCCAGAGTGCTTTTCCACATGAGCTGACACATATTTGGCAGGAGACTAGGGGGGACTGCCTGAATGGAACACAAACCGACTGAATGGAACACAAACCGACTTCGGACTGGCTGCCATTCACAGCTGGCCACATGCATTAATTGATGTTAATCACTAGTAGCTTAGCTTCACATCTGGGGGCAGTCAGTGTAAGAGAGAAGACAAATGCCTGGCGTCATGGCCTGCTTCCGTTCTCCAGACTTCATCTACTGCTGAATGTACATCAGCATCACTTACTCTAGACTAACAAATCAATCGTACATCAGCATCACTTACTCTAGACTAACAAATCAATCTGGAATAAGTCTTGCTCTCCACATTTTTCTTTGGTCATTAATGTTGCTTTATTTTGTTTCTAGGACATGTGGTGCAGAGAGAGAGTTTGAAAAGCCAGCAAAAGATTCTGCCTTTGAAAGCAAATGACACCACCGGAGTCTTTTTTTAAAAGTACAAATTAAAGAGGATTGTTAAGTTTTCATTTTAAATCTATAGACTGATTAAATGTTCTAAATAATTTTATAAACATAGTATTTTAAAGTTAAATTTTGTTGAATAAAAGCCACTTTTGCCAATAGTTTTGTCCAGTATTAACAGGTAACACATTTCAAAAGATTAAAATTCCAGTTAGAAAACAATTGCTTACATGTTACAGGACTTAGAGTTGTAGTATATTTTTCTCTGACTACTGTATGTTTGTCTAGCTAATAGCAGGAAAAAGTGTAAATACTTTTAACTGCCTAATCACTTTGTATAAAACCTACTCTCTTCCTATGATACTGACCTCTGTTTGCGCATAGCTTTCCAACTCTTGTGGGGATGTCTTTTCACTGTGTTTTGTAGGAGTTGGAAGCAGCGTTTTTATAGCTGTTAAAGTGTTAATGTATGAGTATACTTAATAACTTTTTCTAAACAAGTTTAGTTCTGTTCTTGCAAAATTCGTTGTGCCAATTTACTGCAATGTGACTTTATGGTATGCTTTTGGTATAGTACGTATACTAGAAAGAAATCTGGTGTTTTCACTGAACCTGTTGATGCACATTGGTTGGAAAACACTGTCTCGAACAATTTGTGGAAATAAAGATGTTAAACTGATAAAGAGAGACTGGTTCTTAATACTAACTTGTATAGACTAAAACATTCATAGGAACAAGGGTCTGGTTTTAGTACTATTTTGATTTTCTTGCCCTGGCATTAACTTAAGGATTTCTAACTTGAATTTTAACAGAAACACTGTTAAAGTATTTTAAGAAAAATTACTAAAGGCATGAAAGAGAATGAAACAGGTACCAACTCCTCTAAAAGCTCTTTATTGAAACATGTGCTTGCCTGATGTGAGAAGAAATAGGAACAACTTGTATGCAGCTGGAGAATTTTATTTGACAGGGCCAGCCAGGTTAGAAATCAGAGTTTAATAGTCCTAAGAATCTTGTTAGGGGAGTATCAGGGAAGATGACCGTGTTCCAGGCATACGTAATGCATTATATTGTATCACCCTCAAGGCAGCAACAGAAAAATATGATTGCAGCCTGGTACAGACCAGTATTTCTGAAGCCTTAACTCACACCATTCAACAAGGAAAAGTTTTTGGAATTCCAGCATGACCAAAACTGCATGGTATCAGATACTGAAAAGTCAAATGATTTATTATTTATGTGCCTTGTAAACTTCTGCCCTGGCTTCTTCAGCCAGCCCACCTGGGTTTTGTGGTGTTTTGTTCTTACCCAGGGTAGTATCGTGAAAAGGGATTTCTGCTCACATACAAAACAAGGCATACAGCTTTTCCCCCATTTACAGTGCAGCAGTCTTTACTTTTGTTTGCAGTTCTGCTCCCACAGTAGTGCTAAGCAGCTAGATATTCAGTAATAGGAAAAAGCAACTTCAACACTCAATATGTCACAACCAGGTAAAGGTCAGTAACTTCAGCATGTCTTTCAAGCATCCCTGTTTTCCAGAATCTGAATGTGACTGATTTATCTTGAGAATAATATCTTTTCCCACTGAAGTCATACACTACTATGAAGTAACTCCTCATTCTCAAATTCTGAAGAAATTAAAACTTTTCCCTAGCACTGCCTTTTTGCTGGTTGTTTGGTGTGTTGTTTTTTTTTTTTTTCTTTTTATTTTCTTCCTAACAGACTAAAATAGTAAATGGCATAATAGTTTTATGATCAGAGCCCTAACCTCCCCTTCTCTTTATTTGCATGGTTTTAGTAACAATTAAAAAATCCTCACTAGTGACCAGAAAGGCACAGGAAAAGGCATGAAAAGCCTGAAATCAGAACTCACTAGTATCTGATTCTCATTGCACAAGCAGTATTGTGTTTATTGTGTTCAGAACCTCTAGTCATCTTTGCTAGTTTGCACTAGTTATTATTTTTATGTAACTTTGCCGGAATCTATCAAGGTGAATGGTTTTTTCCCCTGTTAAGTATGCCACTCCTTCAGAGACCATGTGTGCAATGTGTAGTCACTACACATATGCTGCTGCTAACACATGTTGGAAATAGTATGACCAACTTTTAACTGTCCGTTTACACAGTGGTACATCTAGATTATATTAATGCCTTCTACAGGTTGTCCTTAACCAGAACCCATTCAGAGAGACCTAGACAGGCTGGAG